GGCTAATCTATATTCATCATTTGATCAAAAACAATAAATAAATAACACTGTAATATCATTAGAACTTACAGGTTTTATTCATTTAGCAATAATATAAATATAAAAAGAATAAATAAATAACACTGTAATATCATTAGAACTTACAGGTTTTATTCATTTAGCAATAATATAAATATAAAAATAATAAAACTTTTATTTACAGTGTATTAATAATATGTTGTAACCACCCCCAAACAATGTTACAACTGTCCCCGGATCTTCTGAGGTGGATCCAGTCCAAACGGGTCCACATCAGAACCAGAGTTCTGCTGATGAACTTCCTCCTCCTAGAATCAACCGAACTTCTGATCAAACTTCATGTTCGATAAAGAGYTCTGGGTCGAACCGACGCTCGGCTCCGAACTTGAGCTCGTGCCCCCCCTCCTGGGCCCCCCGCCCCCCCGGCTCTGAGGGGTCCGGTCTTGACGCAGGGATCAGGTGACTGAAGTTCTTATAAGCGAAGTTTGACAAGTTCGGTTCACTTTTTCCTTCTCGTCCCAAACGGTCAGAACCAGATTCCCAGTCGGAGAAGGAGACACCCGAACCGGGACGGGTTCTGTGTCTTTCTGGATCTGCAGGTAAGTTTTTAATTTATGTATTTATTTATTTATATATTTTTATATCATGTATCTCTCAGAAAAGAACAGGAGCCGAGGGTCCAATAGAACCGGACCAAGTTCAGACCCAAAGTTTAATTTAATTTAATTTAATTTAATTTAATTTAATTTAATTTAATGTTTTATTTTTTATTATTTTTTTGCGGTGTTTTAAACTTTTATTTATTTAAATCCAGTTTTTTTTTAATTTGGGCTTTAAAGTTCTGGTTCTGTAACTTCACTGTGAGACGGGTCCTGGTTCTGAACAGAACCCAGCAGGTTTATTTTCTAAAGGGGTCTGCTGGATGGTTCGGTTCTGGTCCAGAACTCATGAAAACCCGGTTCAGAGTGAAGAACTCTGAAGTTCTGTTCAGCTCTTTTGTTCTGTTCGGTCCAATTCTGTCACCAACTCAGTCATGTAGAAAGTGGCGGGCTGGTCCCTGTCTGTGACCACTGAAGTTCTGTTCTGGTTCTGGACCCTTCTGGACCCGTCCGGACCCGGGACACTCGTGGTTCTGTATAATCAGCAGCAGTGCTTTATTTAAGAGGAACTTAATGAGAACAAGTAGAAGCACATGCAGCTTGTTGGACCCATTAGAGCCACACAGAGTCCAGTTGATCCGGTCAGGTCCAGGTGCCGTGTGGAGACCACGTCTCAGACAGAACCAGGATTTTGGACCAACTGATGATTATAGATCTGCAGAAAGTCCTCCAGAACGCATGATCCGGTCTGTTAGAAATAAGGAAAAGTCCAGATCTGAAGACCTCAGGAGGGTCTAGAGGTTCTGAAGGTTCTGGTTCCAGCTTTTCCACAGTTCTGGGACTGTTTCAGCAGAAGGTCCTGGGTTCTGACCCAGTGTGTGGGTTTTCTCTGGTCCCTGATGTTGCCTTCAGGTCCAGCAGGACTTTATAAAACAGATCTGGGATCTGACCTGGTTTGTCAGGTGGTTTCAGTCTGTGAGAGGTCTAGACTGGATCGGGTCAGTACCTGGACTCTCAGTCTGCTGTAATGGTTTTACTTGAAAGACATCTGGACGGAACCAGATGTTCTAAAACCTGTTTGTTTATTTATTTATTTATTTATTTATTTATTTATTTATTTATTTATTGCACCCCCATACCATCAGAGAGGCAGGTTTTAGAACTCAGTGCTGATTGGTTCCTCGCCTCTTTGGTCTTAACTAAACTGGAAGAGGGGTCTAAAGAGGGTCTGAGCAAGAACTAAAGAGGGTCCAAAGGGGGTCTCTACAAGACCTGAAGAGGGCCCAAAGAGGGTCTCTACAAGTCCCAAAGATGGCCTAAAGAGGGTCTGAGAAAGACCTAAAGAGGGTCTGAACAAGACCTAAAGATGGTCTAAAGAGGGTCTGAACAAAACCTGAAGAGGGCCCAAAGAGGATCTAAAGAGGGTCTGAACAAGACCTAAAGAGGGTCTGAGAAAGTCTTAAAGAGGGTCCAAAGGGGGTCTGTACAAGACCTGAAGAGGGTCCAAAGAGGGTCTGAGCAAGACCTAAAGAGGGTCTGAACAAAACCTGAAGAGGGCCCAAAGAGGGTCTCTACAAGTCCCAAAGATGGTCTAAAGAGGGTCTGAACAAGACCTAAAGAGGGTCCAGAGGGGGTCTGTACAAGACCTGAAGAGGGTCCAAAGAGGGTCTGAGCAAGACCTAAAGAGGGTCTGAACAAAACCTGAAGAGGGCCCAAAGAGGGTCTCTACAAGTCCCAAAGATGGTCTAAAGAGGGTCTGAACAAGACCTAAAGAGGGTCCAGAGGGGGTCTGTACAAGACCTGAAGAGGGCCCAAAGAGGGTCTCTACAAGTCCCAAAGATGATCTAAAGAGGGTCCAAAGAGGGTCTGAACAAGACCTGAAGAGGGTCTAAAGAGGGTCTCTACAAGTCCCAAAGATGGTCTAAAGAGGGTCTGAACAAGACCTAAAGAGGGTCCAGAGGGGGTCTGTACAAGACCTGAAGAGGGCCCAAAGAGGGTCTCTACAAGTCCCAAAGATGATCTAAAGAGGGTCCAAAGAGGGTC